CTTAATCGCCAGCATCGCACCAAAATATTGTGAATATTAGAGTTTCCCTGAAAAGCTGTATAGAAAACCACGACCTGACCTGACCTTTGGGAGTGTAGGAGGACAAGCATGTAAATAGCATTTATTGCTTCTTAATTTCAATTAGTGCTTAACCTATAGCTATATTGATATTACAATTTTATAAAACTAATAAAAAATCTAAAATCTTTAAATAAATTATAAAATAACTCAGGATATTTTCAAGTTTTGTATAAAATCGCTATTGTTTAATAAAACTGAAAAAGAAATTCTTTATATTTAAAACTTGCGTATATAGGATTAAACGCTAAAACGTCAACGTAAAAATTTTGAGTGCATTAACAAAAAATAGAGAAGAATATGTTGGTAAATGTAACAACACAATTAATTGTATTTATGCATTATGCAGACACTCGGGAATGTATTTATTACATTCCTCCAAAAATACACTTTGAGATAACACTGAAAACAGTTGTGGTGACAAGCAGGCATCACACACCAGTTGACGCACCGAAGGCAAGTCTCAGTATATTTGTAACCTTATGTAATCTTTTTTTTTTTTTAATACAGTGAAGTAAGATTGCATTATATTGGTATTTATTGCATTTTGATATTGATGCAATAGTAATTAAAACATGTGCATGTGCAGAGCATGTTTGTTGCATGGAGTGGGGAGGAATTTGCTTAATGCCTCTCCTGCTTGCTTGTTATAGATCAAAGAATCCCTCTTTGCTTAGTCATGTTGTCTGCGCCTTGTAAGCCACCTGATGTACTAGTGTGTGTGTGTGTGTGTGTGTGTGTGTGTGTGTGTGTGTGTGTGTGTGTGTGTGTGTGTGTGTGTGTGTGTGTGTGTGTGTGTGTGTGTGTGGTACTTAACTGCTTGCCTGTACTGTGTGTGTTTGATCCTGCGACAAGATGTAGTTCACGGCACCATTACCGACCACATCCCCGCTCAACCAAACCTTCCACCTACGTTTTTCTAAATTTGAAATAACACTAAGCTTTCCTAGTGTAAATTTACAGTGCAGTGTAAGACTAACGGATCGTATATATGTTGTTTTGAAGAAGTTTTCTGTTTTGGTATCTGGTACAAGGTAATAGTAGCCTCCTTGGCAGACAGTAGATCAGGAATCTTTGACTGAAGGACATATTTTGCGTCACCCAACGAGCTTCCAATCCAGAATATTGAACATGTTGAGGCTACTGTCTCTCGATTAATTTATATTTTAGGTTATGCCGTGGTTATTTATTATATTGTTTTTATTTACAGATTATTTATTGTGTCTGCACTTTAGCAGGTGTTAGTTGGTGTCAATCATAGGTGTATTAAACTAGTGGCAGTTTTTATTTTGATATTGTTATTTTCCTACCACAGACGTGGCCACACATTTACAATGCTAACCAGCATATATATACATTTTCCCATGTCCTCCATGGCAGTGAACGAAGGTTATTTTACGTTAATGTTGTCTGTCTGGGTGTGAGAGTAAACATGTCTGCACATTCCTTGTTTATGCCCGGGTGTATGTGACCGCAGTTCGACACACTACGGTCCTATGTCTCGTCTGTTTTAATGAACATTCAGAGGTCTTTACGCTGTGTCGTCTTGTGGGTGAGCGCAAGTTTACACATGTTCTCTTATAGTGCCCTTGGGGGGTTGGGCAACCTTTTTAAGTGGGCGTGCCAGTTTGGGCACGTGTGCCAAGGGTTGTCCACCCGGGCTTAGTCTGTTGGTGTGAACGAAAGTAGGTAATCATTTTTGTCTTAGTATTAATGAACGAAAGTGTGACGCTCGCTTGTTTACGTTTGTACGACTTGGTTAAGGTATTATTTACATTTATATTTTGTTTTGATTTTCACTATCTGTAGCCTTAGATTACATGAATGTTTGCGTTATCCCTGGATTATATACAGTACAGGGAATATGTTTTTCAATTGAGATCAAACTTTACTTTTGTGCATTGTATAAACGCCACTGGAGATATCAAGTGGTGTATGTGTGTGTGTGTGTGTGTGTGTGTGTGTGTGTGTGTGTGTGTGTGTGTGTGTGTGTGTGTGTGTGTGTGTGTGTGTGTGTGTGTGTAGGGAGATGGGAGGGATGGTGGTTGTACAATGCCTGACAGATGATGAAATTATTTAGAAGCAACGCATATTAATGCTTATATTATGCATACAGTATATATATATATATATATATATATATATATATATATATATATATATATAATACTAGCAAGTCTTGTGGAGGATGTGAATGTGTAGCTGTGGGGTCCCCCCCAGCCCATATAACCCTGTGCGGGGTATTCGTCTTATACTATACATCTCACCTATAGTTATAGGTCTCCATGATTAGGACGGTGAGTCGCAAATTACTAAATAGTGAGACAATATATTTCACTTACTTATTTTTTTCCCTTCCTTTTTTTTCTTTTAACTGCTACCTCGCCTTGGTGTGTGGCGGCCATCTCTGGAACACTAGAATGGAGTAAGTATATATAGATAGCGTGAGCCTCCGCGCCGTCAACGCCGCCGTCAGCGGCTCCTGCCCTTCAGTATAGTGTCCGTCACGTCCTCTGGGGTGGCGGGGTGGTACCGGCTAGCTCCATGGTGTCTTCCTGCGCTCACCCACGCCGCCTTCTGCTGCTTCCTTATTTGCTGGTCTTCCCCTGTTAAGCTTCTCTCATTCATCTCATCTGCTTCCCTCTTTCTCCTCATCCTCCTGTCTCTCAGCTTCTCTCTTCATCCACCTGCCTCCCAGCTTCTGTCCTCATCCACCTGCTTCCCAGCTTCTCTCCTCATCCACCTGCTTCCCATCTTCTCTCCTCATCCACCTGCTTCCCATCTTCTCTCCTCATCCAGCTGCTTCCCATCTTCTCCCCTCATCCACCTGCCTCCCAGCTTCTCTCATCCATCTCGCAGTTGCTTACATTAATTTAAAAATGTTCTCATTGTGTTCATTACTGTTTTGTGTTGAAAGTTTTAACTAATCAACTCTTGGTTTGACTTCATTTTATAGAACTGTTTTTTCTTATTTTACTCATTTCCCAGTGTGTGTGTTGTGTGTGTGTGTGTGTGTGTGTGTGTGTGTGTGTGTGTGTGTGTGTGTGTGTGTGTGTGTGTGTGTGTGTGCTTGCTTATTCATGTTTGTGTGGGGTTAGTCATAGGTGTGTGCGTTTAAGTATGTGTTTTTAAGAGTTTTATGTACGTGATTATAAGTTGTTTTCAAGGGTTTATGTGTGTGTTTCTAAATGTTTTATGTGTACTTTTGTGTGTTTGTGTTTCTAGGTGTTTATGTATGCGTTTCAATATGTATATGTATGTTTCTAAGTGTTTCATGCATGCGATTGTACAGTATGTGTTTACATTCTGTCTTGTTTGTGCATAAATGTGTTCTTGTATTTCTGTATATTGTGTGTGTGTATACTCACCTATTTGTGCCTGCAGGATGGAGCTCTAACTCTTGAACCCATGTGCTTGCGTGCGTGCGTGTGTGTGTGTGTGTGTGTGTGTGTGTGTGTGTGTGTGTGTGTGTGTGTGTGTGTGTGTGTGTGTGTGTGTGTGTGTGTATGTGTGTGTGTGTGTGTGTACTCACCTAATTGTACTCACCTAATTGTGCTTGCGGGGGTTGAGCTCTGGCTCTTTGGTCCCGCCTCTCAACCGTCAATCAACTGGTGTACAGATTCCTGAGCCTATTGGGCTCTATCATATCTACATTTGAAACTGTGAATGGAGTCAGCCTCCACCACATCACTTCCTAATGCATTCCATTTGCTAACTACTCTGACACTGAAAAAGTTCTTTTCAGTGTCTATTTCTTTTAATTTCTAATTTCTTTTCAAAAAAGTTGTGTGTGTGTGTGTGTGTGTGTGTGTGTGTGTGTGTGTGTGTGTGTGTGTGTGTGTGCGTGCGTGTGTGTGTGTGTGTGTGTGTGTGTGTGTGTGTGTGTGTGTGTGTGTGTGTGTGTGTGTGTGTGTGTGTGTGTGTGTGTGTGTGTGTGTGTGTGTGTGTGTGCGTGCGTGTGTGTGTGTGTGTGTGTGTGTGTGTGTGTGTGTGTGTGTGTGTGTGTGTGTGTGTGTGTGTGTGTGTGTGTGTGTGTGTGTGTGTGTGTGTGTGTGTGTGTTCCCCCTCTCCTTATTCTTCACTCCCCCTCTCTCTATTGATTTTGTTGGTTTGCCTTTATGTGTGTGCCTACCCCTATCACTTTGTGTGTGTGTATTTGTGTGTGTGTGTGTGTGTGTGTGTGTGTGTGTGTGTGTGTGTGTGTGTGTGTGTGTGTGTGTGTGTATGGGGGTTTACCATGTCCACATGGTTGTATGTATACAGTTAATTATACATATGAATGGTTGTATGTGGCATCCTTCTTAATTAATATGTGTCAGCCTTATTTTTTAACCAAGTTTAATATCTAATTTTAATATTTGGTGAGTATTTTTTTTCCTTTTTTATACTTTTATTATTTTTATTTACACGTTCTGACATTTTTTCTCACTTAATTTTTATTCTTTATTTGTTTCTCATTTAAATAAATAAATAAATAAAAATAAATAAAAACTTTTATTCTTGAATTGTTTTTCACTTAACTTTTATTCTTGAATTGTTTCATACTTATTTTCATTCTTTATTTGTTTCTCATTTAACTTTTATTCTTTATTTCTCACTTAACTTTTATTCTTTAATTGTTTCTCACTTAACTTTTATTCTTGAATTGTTGCTTCGTGAATACCTGGAGTGGTGTACCTTGGTAATAGATATACCTGGAGTGGTATACCCTGGTAATAGATATACCTGGAGTGGTATACCTTGGTAATAGATATACCTGGAATGGTGTTTGCAATAGACATACCCCCAGCAATTGTGTTTGCTGTGTTTTGGATCTTGCATGTTACTGAGTGTCTGCCTCAGGCGGTATAACTTGGAAACGCTTGGACAGAACTGCTTCTAACTTGGGACTCCAGCTTGAAAAGTTAAATGGTGGATCCTAATTAGTCGTGGGCCCCTGTATGTGGCCGCCTGTTGGCTGTCTTGCCAGGTTTACTGTATCTGTCGATGGAAACGGTTCCTTGCTTCCCAGGAATATTTACTATTATCTGGTGTCTGGGAGATGATGCTGGTGTCTTGGAGATGATGCTGGTGTCTTGGAGATGATGCTGGTGTCTTGGAGATGATGCTAGTGTCTTGGAGATGATGCTGGCGTCTTGGAGATGATGCTGGTGTCTTGGAGATGATGCTGGTGTCTTAGAGATGATGCTGGTGTCTTGGAGATGATGCTGGTGTCTGGGAGATGGTGCTGGTGTCTTGGAGATGATGCTGGTGTCTTGGAGATGATGCTGGTGTCTTGGAGATGATGCTGGTGTCTTGGAGATGATGCTGGTGTCTTGGAGATGGTGCTGGTGTCTTGGAGATGATGCTGGTGTCTTGGAGATGGTGCTGGTGTCTTGGAGATGGTGCTGGTGTCTGGCAGATGATGCTGGTGTTTTGGAGATGATGCTGGTGTCTTGGAGAGGATGCTGGTGTCTTGGAGAGGATGCTGGTGTCTTGGAGAGGATGCTGGTGTCTTGGAGATGGTGCTGGCGTCTGGGAGATGGTGCTCGAATCATATAGATTATTATGGGGTCTCGGTAGTGCAGTTGGGTTTCTTCTCGACCCCTCACACAGGAATCCCGGGTTCGAATTCTGGGCCAGACAGAAATGGTTGGTCACGTTTCCTTTCACCTAGCAGTAAATAGGTACTTGGAAGTTAGACGGCTGTTACGGGCTGCTTCCTGAGGGGTGTGCTGTAACAAACTAGCTGTTGTAGATATGATCCAGAATGTTCTATGAACCACGGGTAGGGACCTGACCCCAAACACATGGTCGAATCCCCTGGGGGGGGGGGGGGGATTGGCGGTGAAAATAACTGCCGCCTTTGTTCACAATTTCGTATAACGAATTATTCCACATTATTCAGTAATTTAGAGAAATTAATCTTCATTCAAATTGTATAATATTCCTGTTTATAGTATCAAGAGTATCCTGATTGTTAGAATAATGAGTTAAGTCTCCATCAGTGACGTCACGAGCCGGGACTAGACTTTGCGGCGGAGTGACCTGAGGTCACAGGTCATCAGAGTTTCCACGTCCACTATTTCTCAAAGGTCAAATAGCCATTTTGTAATCGGAAATAACCTTTCCCTAAGATGCTTGTGTAATTAACTTCAGTTAAAAGAATTCAACCAATCTGGGTCGTTCGGTACAACAGAGGTTAGTTGTTAAACTTAAGCCTTGCTAGTAACTTAGTAAACTAGGCGGAAGAATACTCTGCTCTGGGTTCTGGGTAGAGGAGCATGTGGGAAGAAAGTGTGGTTCCAGGAGCGGCCCGGGCAGGTGGCCTCAATCATTGGCCCCAAGACCTAACACTAACATCTAGGTGGTCGCCTCAAGATAGAATGGCTATAAGAGTTCGGTACAGGGAATTAGTTCAACTCATTGCCGGTTCATGTAGGAAGTGTTAAGCCAGGGAGTGCTTTGATTTTTAGATTTTGTTTAGTTTTGAATAAACCATTTAGCTAGTAAATTGTCTTTGTATTAATTTCCATTTTTATGAAATTTATTTACATTGTCCCGTACCACGTGGGTAGCCTAAGAGGCCGAGTTGAGTTGGGCGCCGATTCTAACACCGAATAAGAATTCATTTATCCCGTTTGATTTTAATTAATTCCGCACTTTATGTAAGAGTCAATATATATATTACTAGTGGAGATCAAGCCCCGAGGTTTATTGATTAGCATGATCGATCCTGACTTCGGTCATTGCTCAGTGGTAATGGTCTGGTGGTGGCAGCGCAAGGCGATTCTAGAGTTCTGCTAGAAGTCTGTTTCACGTCATAAGGTTGTAGAATCTTAAGTCGGTCAACGGCTTAACTTGCACCTGCTCGCGGAGTTTGTACTTCAAGTAAGCTGTTTTCTATTAAAATCAACCTCCTATTGGCTGAGACATAAAGCCATTTTGACCCACACAATGGCGAAGTAGCCGTGTTCATCTTCAATTACACAGGGTGTGTGTGTGTGTTCTGAAGGTCGTCCTGACATCTTGCTCACTAGCATACGAGTTGTGAACCACGAGGACTCCAGCAGGGAGATGATGGGGGGCAGCAGGTGTGGAAGTAGCCAGGTGTGTAGCCAGGTGTGTAGAGGTGGTGACAGGTAATTAACAAGGGTTCCTCTCTCTCTCTCTCTCCCCAGGGACGGCGTGGAACACTGCCAGCCATGGAGCGCCAACACAACACAACAAATAGACTTAGCCTTTAATATATTTTTTATGGTCTACTTTTTTATACGTGTAAGTAATTTAAAATTGATTCTTTGCTGTCTTGTTTAAAGCACGTGTTAGTGTTGTAATTTCAGGTAAATTTTCCCATCTATAAAATAAGATATTTAATGAGTTATTTATTATGCACCCCATACCCATCTTGTGGGCGGTAGTGGAAAGGGTTACAGAGGCACATAATGGGCATGAGCAAAGTGAAAACATTTATGAGAAACGAGTAATTTTTATATTTTATTTTTCCATTATATTTAGTTTAGAATAATTTATATTTACTAGGTAAACTCGGGTACCGGTAAATATAAAAAAAATCTAGACAAAATGTGGAATAAAATGTAAAAATTACTTGTTGCTCATAAATGTTGTAGCCTGTCCTTAGGTTATTTCATTAAATAGCTATGTACACTTAGTGCAGTGTACTAATATTTAGATAATGCATTTATGAATTGGGCCTAGTAATTATAATGTGTCCATCCTCCCTGTTTAAACCCTCTAGATACATATCTAGGTTTATTAAGTTTCCAATAAATCTTTTTGTCAACTGGCAAGTGAACCTGTTCTCAACAGATATTATTCTCAAATTATAATAAAATTATTTTATACCCAGGCTTTAAAACTGCAGCTCATCCTCAGGTTAATACTGTACATTAAAGAATTGAGTACAGTACATAATTAGTGCATTTTACTAATATTAATATAACCAAACCTAACCTAACCAAATCGAGCCCAACCAAATCGAGCCCAACCAAATCGAGCCCAACCAAATCGAGCCCAACCAAATCAAGCCCAACCAAATCGAGCCCAACCAAATCGAGCCCAACCTAACCGAACTTTGCCTAACTGTGCCCAACCTAACCGAGCCTATCCCAACCCAGCCCATATCAACCTAGCCCAACCCAACCCAACCTAACCTAACCTATAATTTAAAAAAAAATTCATTGTCGGGGGACAGGCTGCCAGTTTAAATGTACAATACATGTTAGGCTTATATTGAGGTCCTCCCTCAGGGTCGAATTACTGACCCTCCCCAGGATGCAGCCCCACAACAAGCTGACTAACTCCTGGGTATCTATTTACTGCTAGGTGGACAGAGGCATTAGGTGATAGGAAATGCACCCAACCGTTTTTGGCCCACTTGGGATTCGAATTCGGAATTCTCGATTGTGAGTTTAGAACAAACCTGACTGTACAGCTAGGACCCTATACATGTTAGTGGCTTTGCAAAAATGTTACACTGAAACCTCAATGTACCTTTTTTTATATACATTCAATTTAAAAGCATCGTGGTTTTATCATCGTATATTGTGCAAGTTGGAATATTGTAATCCAACCTGTTCTCAAGGGGGAAATACGCTCATGGGAATGGATTGAGGATGACTACATAATTATTGCTATTATCCACTCTATTCATGGTTAGCTTAGGTTAAGGTTACTTTAGGTTAAGGTTTGATTATGTTGGGTTTCATTTCATTTGGTTACGTTAATAAGGTGTATTATTGACGATAATTTGAAATATGAAATTTGAAAACTATTTCAGTGTACCTGAGAATTCTGTTTACAGTAAACAAAATTCTTCAGAGAAAACAGTTTCATCATACACTTTTTATATTTTAAAGGAACGATTTATAATACAATATAGTAGTTATAACTTGAGAATAATCTCTGTTTAGGACAAAGGTGCACTTGCCAGTTTACATGTAGACTTACTGGAACCATAATATGCTTTCAGACCATCACAAATATCTAGACAACTACTATCCAGGTAGTTTGATTTAGTTTGTCTCTAGGGATAGCAAAGAGATAGTTATTTCTGGTGTGATTACGGGTTCTATTACATCTGTCAAGGAAGCATTTCAGATCAGGATTTACATCTAGGAACAAGGTTTTGTTCATGTAAATAGCACAAGAGAATGTGTGGAGTGAGTTTATGTTCAGCATATTTAGGGATTTAAACGGGGGAAGGGGGGGGAGCTGTGTGTAGCCCTCCAACTTTAGATAGACAGGCAGACAGACAAGACATTCCCCTTAATATATGTATATTGCTTTGTTATTAAATTGTTATTTATACATTTTCTCATTTCATGCACATTATATGGTACAATACTAGCATTTTCTATCATATATCTTGTTTTGCCATTTGCAATAGTTTCTGTATGGTTACAGTACTGTACACTAGAAAGTGAAGGGACGATGACATTTCGGTCTGTTCTGGACCATTCTCAAGTCGATTGTGAGAATCGACTTGAGAATGGTCCAGGATGGACCGAAACGTCGTCGTCCCTTCACTTTCTAGTGTGTGGTCTGGTCAACATACTTCAGCCACATTATTGTGACTCATCGCCGACGGTACTGTGTTTCTTTCAGGCCCCACCCAGCCTGTAGCTGAATAAAATGTAATGTTATAAATTTTGCTATCCATGGGAAGATTTAAAGAGTAAAGAGCATTAGGACTACACTATAAAACTAAAAAAAATATTACACACAGAATAAGATAATATTGTTTACTGATGAAACAAAAAACTAGATTAACCAAAAAAACTGTTCCAGAAATTCCTTTTTCAATCATCAGAGAAGAAAGGTAGAAGGGACATGTAATATTATATCACAACACCAGTAATTATTCAACCTGGACAAATGGAAAAAAAACTGTGGCTATACTTCAGATACTTTAACACTTACATAAATTACTTTATGCATTATGAACAATGTATAGGAATTATTACTTTACCTGAAAATTAAGTGAAAAATAATGAATGAATACAGAAGAACCTAGGAGTATCATTAGTTGGGTGTTAAAGTCTTATAATGTGGCTGCCTCCATACCACTGAAGTTTAAACATGGCTGTGAGGCTGATGTAGTCCTCTAGTCCTCAGCTTGTCACATATACTTAACCAATAATTACAAACATGTTTTCACTGAAACATAATACTGTATTTTAAGGTTTGCTATCTAGTAACCAAACAATCCCTATGTGAATGAGGATACTTCTACAAACACTTCATTCTTCTAGGGGTCATTATTTAGTTGAGAAAAACACTTTTCCATCATGATTCACTTTTTTTTTATTTTATTTTAAACATCAGGGACATCATCTTCATCTTCATCAAACATCTTCCATTAAGGGAGCGCTGACAACTGTTTTCTTCCCATACTCTGAAGTAACTGATTTAGAGTCTCTCCCAGACAAACACCAACAAAAATAAGCTGCTCTAGTATTTGGGTTATATTTCTGTGCTCTTATTATTGATATGCTCATTGTTCAATCCCATAAGTAACATTTACATATTAATAACTCTGAACTCTATGGGGCTCATATACAAATTAAAACAACAATCAAACGCATTACATTCTCCTAATTGACAGCCTTATTTGCAAGATAAATCTAAATAAGCATAAACCATGATTTGCATTCCATTTCACATTAATTTCTTGAATTCTTGTATGCAAATTACTATAGTTAGGAATTGAAGATGTTGTATAACATTTGCATATGCAAATTGAACAAAATTTAAAGCCTTCTGAATAATCTGCAGACAGTTTATTATCAGTTATTTACTCTGACCAACAAATGCATACTCAAGATGTGAATGTGCCTATGGCATTTCAATTTCAAACTGTCTTTAATTGTTATCCAAGTTCCTAGTATGCAAAATGTATGCAAATTACAAAAATCTATTTCACTTCCATTAAGGCACTCCTAATCCATAACAGAAGTGCACTGTATAAAACACTGCTCGCATTCCTTCTGAATCACTTACCTCTCGTCTACCATCACATTGACATAACTAAGATTCATCTCTGAAGATATACATAGCTAAGTTCCACTGTGAGACCATGTTCTTGGTTTCTCTCCTCTATTGTACTTACCTTGTAGTTGTTTTGCCTTTCATGATAGTTTAATTTACCTTCCATTCTAATTGGTGTTCTCCTGCCTGACAGTTTATAGCGGCGAGTGATAAGCTGTGGTTCATGCTGGAGATGTACTCCTTCGTAGACTACTTCACCATACCCCCATCCTTTGTCAGTATATATCTGGACAGAACATGGATAGGTAAGTAGGTAACATGGCATGAAAGTGATATGTGCAATATGACAAAACTAGGTTAAAAATAACTACATCCAACTTCAGAGTGCAGAAATTCAACTAGATAAAATCAGTGTTTAAAAGTCAGTATTTATCAAGTATGCAGTGTTATTTTCCTTTTAATGGTAGGAAAAAAATGCAAAATAATACTTTATTTGATATAACAATAATGGTTGTTTTAATAATTATATTTATTGTTTTGGTATGTGAGTGAGATGGAAGGCAAATTAAGTAGGTTCGAGATGTTAAGGCTATTGCACCATTTCTTTTAAGTCAAGGAAAATTTTGAACTTATTGTAAGTGGAGTTAAGGTAAGCAGAACAAGTTATTAATGATTCATAATAAAAAGAACAGGATACAATAAGTAGAGGCGATCATCTTTGGTGTAATTACCCAAGTGTAGTTACAGGGTGAGAGCTACTCTTGTGGTGTTCCAGCTTCCCAGCACTGTCATATAATGCTTTGAAACTACTGATGGTTTTGGCCCCCACTACTGTCTACCAATCTGTCTGCAAAAGAAAGCTTTATTTTTTTTTTTTTTTATTTGGGGGGGGGGGGCACCTTTGATTCCTTAGCTTGAATCTATGACCTGTTCCTGAGGTTGCTGGTTTCAGGAATTCCTCTTGTCAATATGGTTGATTCCTGTTATTTTGTAAGTGGTGATCATATCGCCTCATTTTCTTTTGTCTTCTAGTTTTGGCATATTTAACTCCTCTCTCCTCTCTTCATACCTTTAGTTTTCAGTTCTGGAAGCAATTTAGTTGCATGCATTTTCACTTTTTCCAATTTTCTGATGTGCTTCTTGAGATATGGGCACCATACAATTGCTGCATATTCCAGTTTTGGTCTCATAAACATCATGAACAGGTTCTTTAGTATTTCACCATCCATGTAATTGAAAGCTATTCAGAAGTTGGAAAATGCAGTATATGCTCCTTGCACAATGTCCTCTGTATGTTCCTCTGGTGAGAGTATTCTACCCAGAACCACCCCTAGATCTCTTTCTTTGTTGGAGTTCTTTTAATCCTTTCTACATAATTTGTAGGTTGTGTGTGGTCTATTTTCTCCTATTCCACATTCCATAACATGACATTTATTCACAGTGAATTCCATTCGCCACGTGGTGCTCAAAGTATTTATTTTATCTAGGTCAGTTTCAAGGGACATGACAATTGTCTGTCTCCTATCTTCCTTAGTAGCTTAGCATCATCAGCAAACATATTCATATAATTCTGTACAATATTCCTTCTGGTAGATCATTTATTTAGACGATGAACATTACTGGCACAAGAACTGAACCCTGTGGTACTCTGCTAGTAATACTCCTCCTGTCAGATACATTGCCTCTAATTACTGCCCTCATCTGTCTGTCAGTTAGACATTTTTTCACCCATTTCAGTATTCTCCCTGTCACCCCTCTAGCATGTTCCAGTTTACAAAACAATGTCTTATGTGGAACTCTGTCAAAAGTCTCTTTTTTTAGGTCCAGGTAGATACAGTTAACCCAACCATCTTTCCTGTAGAATCTCTGTAGCTCTACCATAAAACTAAGTAGATTTGTTATACAGGAAAGGTAAAAAATCATGCTGTCTGTTACTATGTCATTACTCTCCAGGATTTATTTATACCCATTTGGTTTACAATTTTTGTTTAGTGTTTTGACTACCACACTGATTAATGATACGGGCGTTTAATTTAGAGGGGTCTACCTTGCCACTGTACCATTTTTGTAGATTGGAATAATATTTGCCTTTTTCCATATAAATATCTCTTTCCTGTGCACAAAGATGTTTGGAATATCAATTAAAGTGCAATGCTTGGTTCAATTGCACATTTTCTCAGTACCCAAGGTGAAACTCCATCTGGTGCTACTGCTTTTTTCCTCCTAGCCCCTTGAGTAATTTTTACACTTTGTCCTGAGATGCCTCTATGTACAGTACTCTATGGTATTCTCTGGAATTGGCATTGTCTGGTTTTCTAAAAATCTCATTTTGCACAATCACACTTTGGAACTGTTTTTCAAATGTGTTTCTCACATTTCTTTTTAATTTTCTGTGAATCTATTCCCCCCCATTCTTAATCTCTGGATTTGATCCTTTACATACAGCTTGCTTTTAGTGAATTTATAGAAAAGGCCTGGGTCTGTTTTACACTTGTCTGCTACACCTTTCTCAAAATTTATTTCTGCCTCTCTCCTCACTGCTGTGTGTATGTTTATTACTTATTTGTAGTCCAATATGTTTGAGAGTTAGGCCACTTCCTATATTGTACATAATTTCTTGTCTTTTCCTCTCTGGCCCTCTCATAATTTCTGGTGCACCAATCCTGTTTTCCTTTTCTGCATCTCTGTTTTGGTATAAGAAAGTAGACCTGATTATGTCAGGTGTATGCTAGTGAACCAGTAGGTACAGAAGGTTATTTCAGATGTGTCTACATAATCAATAAATACAGCAAATTGTTTCAGATGAATGTATATAGCCAATGAGTTCAGGTTATTTCAGGTGTATGCACCTAAATAAATAAATGCAGCAGATTGCTTCAGGCATGTGTGTGTGAACCAATAGATACATCAGGTTACTTCATATGTGTGTGTGCACATTAACTAATAGGTACAGTAGCTTCCTTTAGGTGTGTATGCAAACCAATAGATACAGAGGTGAATGGGAATCAATAGATACAGCAATGATTTTTGTTTCGACCTTCCCCAGTAAGAGGTGTGTTTTACTTCTCAGGGCTGCGGTTCTTACGAGCCCTCCGCCTCATGTCCGTGCCAGATATCCTGCAGTACCTGAACGTCCTCAAGACATCATCCAGCATCCGGCTGGCACAACTTTGTTCCATCTTCATTGCAGTCTGGCTAACAGGCGCTGGAATCATCCATCTGGTAATGTCAATTATAATAATAATAATAATAATAATAATAATAATAATAAAACAATAATAATATATTCATTCAAAAGCACATTTAATTCAAACATTTGTAGTTATCTTCTTTTGCATTTAGTTTCTGTATGATGTTACAGAAGAGTTACTGAAATGTTAACATTTCAGCTTCGACCTATTGGTAGTCAACTGCTGATGATGTACAGACTAGGCTGTCTCGGGTGTATATCCTACCAAATTTATATAATACTGGATACTGTGCAGTGAAACATGACGCTACTTGTGTTGGGTTACAGAGATTAATATATTCATTGGATACAAATGGAAATGCTAATGGTATCACTGGGCAGATCACTGCAGGTGTTCATTAACTCTCGAGAATTTTTGAAACATGATCAGTATCCCGTTCCCAGGTTTTTAAATTACAATTCATTTTTAGCACTTGATAAAAAAAACAGCGTTGGATGTAATAAAACTCCATTTTCTGGATGAGACCTGGAGGCTCCTTGGAGCTATACCGGGCTGATGTGTATATATATAGTAGTAGTAGTAGGCATCCATCAGTTTCAGGAGACTATATAGACTACAGTATATATATATATATATATATATATATATATATATATATATATATATATATATATATATATATATATATATATATATATATATATATATATATATATATATATATATATATATATATATATATATATATATATATATATATATATATATATATATATATATATATATATATATATATATATATATATATCGTACCTAGTAGCCAGAACTCACTTCTCAGCCTACTATTCAAGGCCCGATTTGCCTAATAAGCCAAGTTTTCCTTAATTAATATATTTACTATAATTTTTTTCTTATGAAATGATAAAGCAACCCTTTTCTCTATGTATGAGGTCAATTTTTTTTTATTGTAGTTAAAATTAACGTAGATATATGAAGGTAGGTTAGGTAGACGAAAAAACATTAATTCATGAAAACTTGGCTTATTAGGCAAATTGGGCCTTGAATAGTAGGCTGAGAAGTGCGTTCTGGCTATTAGGTACGACATATATATATATATATATATATATATATATATATATATATATATATATATATATATATATATATATATATATATATATATATATATATATATATATATATATATATATATATATATATATATATATATATATATATATATATATATATATATATATATATATATATATATATATATATATATATATATATATATATATATATATATATATATATATATATATATATATATATATATATATATATATATATATATATATATATATATATATATATATATATATATATATATATATATATATATATATATATATATATATATATATATATATATATATATATATATATATATATATATATATATATATATATATATATATATATATATATATATATATATATATATATATATATATATATATATATATATATATATATATATATATATATATATATATATATATATATATATATATATATATATATATATATATATATATATATATATATATATATATATATATATATATATATATATATATATATATATATATATATACTATATATATATATATATATATATATATATATATATATATATATATATATATATATATATATATATATATATATTAGACCGTGGCAACAGTCAGTCGAAGGAGTTCCAAGCCTACCGGAGACCAGAGCCAAAACCTGGCCCCCCCAAGAGAGGCACGAGGAGCAATGGCTTAACAACATCCCCGTGTAATTGGAAACAGTCTTTGTCTGCCATCTACCAGGTCTGGCACCCAGAAAGGTACGAATTTCATAAGTAACTACTGCTGGTCAAAAAATTGCAAACCGAAAGCCAAACTGCCAAACAGAACTCCCCATCAAAAACAAGGAAACAAACATGACGTCGATCACCACAACCGCCACGCATCCGTCTGCATAACCCTCCCCCCCTCTCCTCGGAGGGGCACGTGGGGGTCCAGACCAATACGCCGGCAACTCTCCTCAGTTCAGAGGCTGAACTGAGGAGAAATAAAAAAACGTGAAAAACCGCCGACCGGAGGGAGAGATGCCGGGGAGCCTCCGGATCTCACCCAGAAAATGGCATTTCATTACATTCAACACTGGTTTTCTGTGGAGAGCCCCTTCGACTCTCCGGAGCTACCTAACCAAAGATAAGAAGAAAAGGGACTCACCCAGGAGGCAGTCGTCACTTGCTCGTCAACTCAAAGTTGAGACAACAGGCCGCAACCTGCGACCCAAGGCTATTCATGCCCGAGAAGGACTAGGAACATTAACAAGGTAACGTGCAGCCAGGACCCTGTTCGACCTCCAAAAGCCCTGTGCCCAAAAGATAGCCCAGGACATTACCAAAACAGCTGCCGAATGCCGAACTTATGAACGGCGTGGGCACGGGAAAAGACCGCAGGCTGGCTGGACCGAATAATCCTGCGAACAACCTGGGAGGCCCACGCCCTAAAATAGGGAAGAAGGGAAACTGGGTCAACCCAAAGCGCTTCCTGTGCCACAGAGGCCATAATGCGCAAATAACAGCGAAGAGCCACAAACACACAAAACATGATGCATCCCCGGCTGAACCAACCAAGCATAAACAATCCAAGGACCCCTTCGGAAAGCAGCAGTCTCATTCTTCGCCAGAAAAGGAGGAGACGGCTGCAAATGAAGAAAAGACTACCAGGAACGAAAGAGAAGAAACCCCTGCGCCGGAGGAGAGCATGAAACACGTCGATCCGACCCCCAGAGGCCAATGCCAACAAGAAAAGAACCGTAGAAAAACAGTTGTTAACCGAGGGAGCCACCCCCAAACCGAGGAGAAGGGAGAAGAGAGCACCCGGTGCAACGACCAGGACAACTCAGGCGGCACATGAGCAGGCTGGAGGTGAAAACAACGCCCGAGGAAGCTTGCGGAACAGAGCAGAAGTGACATCCACCCAAAATGCAAGCTGCAGTGGCTCCGCCAGTGCCACTCGAAATGAGGCGACAGTATCTGACATAAGAAGACGGTTCAGAAACAACCAAGAGAGAAAGGACAAAACAACCTATGAAGAGACAAGTGCCAAAAAGACCGCAAGGAAATTTCATGCTGCCATTGAGACGAAACTCACAGATGGGACACTAAGCTACCTGATCACCATACAAGTGGTGATAAACCCGCGTCAAAAAGACCAGATGCGATAAACAGAGAGATCAAACCAGCCACGTACCGGAATGGACCAATCTGCTGAAAGAGGCGGAGCCGTGGGAAGACCCTTGGGTTCGGACATCGAGCAAGAAGCGCCTGAAACCAGGGCTGGGCCGGCCACCTAAGAGTCAACAGGACTACTCATCCCTGGTAAGTCTCTCTAAGCTAACCAGGATCCGGAGCAAAAACCGAACCGGCGGGAAGAGGTACAGGTAACCCCAACTCGACCAGTCCATCCAAAAGGCATCGACCCTGACTGCCTCGCAGTCTGGGAAGGGCGCCACAAACACTGGAAGATTGTCTAAGTTGATGCGAAGAGGTCCACCTCTAGGTGCCCATAGGTCCGGCAGAGCCAACGGAATGAGTCTGTGTTGATTGTCCGTTTCATGGATAGGGGAATGAATCGAGACAGGCCATCCGCCAGGACGTTTGACACCCCCTTAATGTGAACCGCCAGGAGAGCCAAATCCCGAGAACTTGGCAAACAAGTTACCTGAAGCGACCAGCCCACAGTGCCAAGGACTGCATCGAACTCCTGCAGTTCAGACAATGAACCACCGGGGTGCAGTCCTAAAGAAACCGGATCATTGCTCCACAAGCAACACAAACCCTCTGAAGCGAATGCCTCACCACCGCGAACTCCTGCACCGTCCTGAGAACCCGACGGAAGGACGGATCCCACTGATTCTGGCAGGCCTGGTGAGCACTGGCTACAAAACCCCAGCTGAGAGACGAGGCATCCGTGGACACATCGAGTTAGGGCTCGGAGAGGCGTCAGTGCATAGAACCCCGAAAAAACCCTCAGAGGGGGGCCAGCAATGCAGCAGCTGATGCAAGGCTCCCGGGATCCAAACACAGCGATCACGAGAGCGGCGGAAAGGACGCCACTGAAGAAACCAGAACATTCGTCGAAGCCAGATCCAACCCGACAGGTAGACCAGCATGGCCAAGATCAGGCTCCCGCACCATCGCCCAAACAACCGACGTGTGACCCGGGTGCCCTCCAAAAACAGTCGTAAGTGGGACTGCAGCCACAACAACGACGCCAGAAGGAGAGACAAGGAAGCGGTCCGAGAGTCCCACACAAGACCCAGCCCAGTCCGAACCTGAAAGGGAACCATATGGGACTTCTTCCAGTACACCAAGAACCCGAACCCGGCAAGCTGGTAAGGAACCAAATCCCTAGCGAGCTGACACGTGGATTGGCTGGGAGCCCACACCAGCCAATCGTCGAGGTAAGCCAGAACTCAAACCAGGCGAGAACAAACAGCGCGAGCCTCCTCCCCCTAATGCGCCGCCAACAGAGCGAAGTGTGAAAGGGCCGATGACCCATACGAGAGCCTGACTGACACTCAGAGCGATCACTGAGCCAACGACTCCGTATGAGGGCCAGGGCCGAATCCGGCACTACTGGCTCACGACGACCAAAAGAACCCCGAGATCTGGTGTGACCCTTCTGTGCAGGACCTCCATGGCCCCCCTGGAGAACCTACAAGTCCGACATAGGCAGTCAACAAGACGAAGCCACCTGCAGAAAATGCACAAACGCAGACTCTGCAAACAGCAACGGGCAAAAGGGGGATGAAAATCTAAAAGCCAGGGCCCAAGACAATTCCAAAAAATGGATGAGCACCACCTGTAAGCACGCGAGGCGAGAAGGGAAGAACAGACACCACCTCCCTCAGAAATGGCTCATACAACTTCACCAAGGCAGCCGGTGCCTGAGCTGCCGAAGC